CGCTTGCTGGGGAAGCAGCCCTCCGCCCCGCCGCTGTCTCGAGTGGAGCCCCAGTGCGCATTTCCTCCCCAGGCTGCCTATTTGTTCTCAACCTGAGACACCTGTGAATAAGAACTTCTTGCAGGCGTGGGTTAGCGATTTCCCTCTCTCTAGAGAAAAGGGTGGGAAGAGGAGAAAGATGGGAAGAAACAGTTGAGAGGTATTATTTTTTCTTTTGCTGAATGTTGGCTTCTTACCTTTGTGAAGCTATTGTTCCAAGAAATGACTGTTTATTCTTAAGATTCAACAGTGCTCTTGGGGGGCCAGCCCGGTGGCATAGTGGTTAAGTTCGCACGTTCCGCTTTGTTGGCCTGGGGTTCCCTGGTTCCTATCCTGGGCGCGGCCCTACTCACCGCTCATCAAGCCATGCTGAGGCCGAGTCCCACACAGAAGAGCTACAACTCGACAGCTATGATGTACAGCTATGTGCTGGGGCTTGGGGAGAAAAAAGAAAAAGAGGAAGATTGGCAACAGATGTTAGTGCAGGACCAATCTTCCTCAAAAAAACAACCTCTTGGCGAGCTGGATTTTCCCCACTAACAACACCTTATGAAAGTATATGAAATATCAGAGACATGGAGTTAGGGGGCATGGAAAGAAATCAAGATGGTGTAATGTAGAAATTATAGGGAACTGGACATCTTTACTGTCTGCTACCCCAGGTGACCCCCCAGAACTGAATTAACACAGCCCCTTACATCGGAGTGTTGTGTGTCACAAGTTTAGGGGAAGGAAAATCGAATTTGGTTGCTAATCTCATTACAGTAGCTGCTTCATTTTCAAATTGGCCCCCTTAACCCCTGTGTACTCCTCCCCCCAGTATATTCTAGGATTTAAACTTCTAGAACCCTATTGATGTGTATTTGGCTGAAGCACAGCTGCTAGATGGGAGCGAGTTACTTGGTTGAGGTACTAAATAAAAGTGGTTGAAGGTTGCTCTCTGAGGAAGTAACAGGCTGACATGAATCCCGAGCAGTTTGTCAACAATACTTAGAAGATACTCGTCCTGGCATAGGAGGCCAGAGGCCTGTTTCTTAGTCTTGGCTTTGCTACTAGGTAACTGTGTGACCTTGGTCAAGACACTTACATTCTCTGTGTCTCAGTTTCCTGATTTGTAAAATAAAAAATTGTGCTGGCTCATTCTCAAATGCCTTTTTTTAATATCCAATATTTGGTGACTCTGTGATCTGGCTTTGCTGGAGAGTAGGAGAGAACTGACTGTCTCCTACTTGATGGAAGATGTCCAGACTCTGTACTTCCTCTGTCCCTTCTTTGCTGTGACTCAGGCCATCCTGAGACTCTTTTCTCTGCTTCTGCTCAGACCCGCGAGGGACTCACTTATGGGAATTCATCCGTGACATCCTCCTGAACCCAGACAAGAATCCAGGGTTAATCAAGTGGGAAGACCGGTCTGAGGGCATCTTCAGGTTCTTGAAATCAGAGGCCGTGGCTCAGCTGTGGGGAAAAAAGAAAAACAACAGCAGCATGACCTACGAAAAACTCAGCCGAGCCATGAGGTGGGTGAGGACTGTCCAGTCTCCAGACGTGATCAGGCCACACGGCCAGTCACTTCCCTGGCAGTCTTTGTCTGACCAGCCGCCTTATGCCATGTCCTTTGTTACAGGTACTACTACAAAAGAGAAATTCTGGAACGTGTGGACGGGCGAAGGCTGGTGTATAAATTTGGGAAGAATGCGCGTGGCTGGAGAGAAAATGAAAACTGAAGCTGCTGACACTTTGAACACAAACCAACACATATCCCAAGTGATAACAAACTGAGAACTCCTGGACTTAAATATCTCAAAGACTACTTTTCTCTGATATTTATGTACCATGAGGGGGAAAAAAGTCTACTTCTAACGGGAAGAAGGAACACTACAGATGATAAAATTATTTTGTTACTTTGAAGTATGTCCTATCTGGGGAACAAGCGTACACAGTTCTCTGTGAAATATGATGCCGTCCGTGGCTGTGATGTGCTTCGCCCCCATTGTGAAGTTCTTTACCACTGCAGGAGAAACAGGGTGTGTAGCCTTGTGCTTCTTGCTAAGAGAAAGAGAAAATCAGAGGGCATTAAATGTTTTTATACGCAAAATGGTTTAGGAAAAGGTGCCGTGTCCTCCGCACATAGGCATCCACAGGGCCTCGACCAGAGAGGTGGGCGTGGTTGCGAGGATGAGCTCTAGCTCTAGCATCTCAGATTGACGAGATGAACCAGAAAATGCTGGGAAGTTGAACCTGACCTTTAGGAGCCAGTGAGTGGAGGATGAGGACTTCCAAAATCCAGTTGGATTTACTCCAGTATGGAGTAACTCCAGTTACTCCATAATCACGTGACTTGTAATGTTTAAATCAGCGAGAATAATGGTGGGGGGCTTTATACTCATTTGGAAATGATTTACCTGATGCCAAGGCTATCTTCCCTCCTCCCCCTTGGATGACTGGTGAAAAACTTCAACTGCCACCTCTGCTCACTTCTAGTTATTTAAGAAAGGGTCCAGCGTTGGTTATTTTTATCCCAATTGCTTAAAAATAAGTGAGAAAAAGGAGGTGGTGATGAGCTTGCTCTTGTAGTCCTGTAGTCCATGGTTTCTTAATTGGCATACTTGACATTTTTGGCTGGATGAGTCTTTGTTGTGCGTTATTTGACTGTCCTGTGCATTGCAGGCTGTGTAGCAGTGGCCAGGACCTCTACCCACTAGATGCCAGTAGCACCCCCATCCCCGAAGTTGTGACAACCAAAAATGTCTCCAGACCTTGCCACATGTCCCCTGGGGGACAAAATATCCCTTGATAGAGAACTACTGATGTAGCCAGTCAAGATGAAGATGCTAATTTATTCTCAGAACAAAAAGATGTGTAAGATCTTTTGGTCCCAAGAGTGAGACAGAAGCAAGACTCCAAAGTCAACCTATTTTGAATTTTTAAAATGGTGGGGACAGTGGTTTGAAATATCTGGAGGGACTTCTCTTCAGAACCCCAGAGGAGAGCCAAAGTCTGATAAATTAAACATAGTAATGTAGCAAGAACTACAATAGAAGACATTTGCACTGGCATTACAAAGCAGAGGCAAAATTATAGTGCAGAATGAAACGCTGAGAGACGAGTTTGTGTGTGTGTGCGCGCGCGCGCGCGCGTGTGTGAGAGAGAGAGAGAGATAGAGAGACAGAGAGAGACAGAGAGAGAGAGAGAGAGAGAGAGACTCAGAGAGAGAGATAGAGAGACAGAGAGAGACAGAGAGAGAGACAGAGAGAGAGAGAGAGACAGAGAGAGGGAGAGTTAGTTCCAAGGAAAATCTTTTCAGATGTTAATTCTCATAATCTTTCCTCTGTTGGAGCACCTCTTTTCTGTCTCATCTGCACTCATCTCAAAGTGAATGGTGTGTTGCCCAGATCTGCATTCAGAAGAATGTTTTATAAAAAAGAAAGAAATGGAAAAGAAAGGAAAGATGGAAAAGAAAAACAAAACTCAGCTCAGGAGGCATGTCAGTAAGGAGAAGGAGACTTGGTCTTCAGTGATGGGTTGTTCTGGAGTACCTGCAGACTTATCATTGGGTCCTGCTAGCTGGGAGGAACAGGAGCCTGTGGACACTTTGAAAATGGGTTTGAACATCCAGATCCCTTTTGCAACTTCTCTTTTTGGCTCCTCATGTCCTTGGCTTTCTCTTCCCTCCTGCCTCTCTATCTTGAACAATAATATGAGGACGAAGACTCCTACCAAAAAGAGGGAGTGCTCTTCATCAACTACTGGAGCACCTACCCAGCAGGGTGAATGATTCATAGTCAAAGGTTGCAAAGCGTTTGTAATGTATTCAGAAGGCTGGAAGTAAGAGGAATTAAGAATTTGTCCCAATTATAATGAGAACCATTATGGGTGGTGACCTTGGAGCAGCAGCTTAGCGAGATGAATGACCTTCTGAAGGTACCACCAAGCACATTTGTATTTCTGTCTGGCTTGGTCACGTCCACAAAGGTGTTACTTGGTGTTGTCAAGTAACGGTTACTGAGGAAACTGAGCGCAGTAACAATGAGCAGCACAGATCTGAGACATTCCTGCGTAAAACACACACCTTGCTTTCCAAGCAAGGCTCAAGAACCAGGAGGCCTTCCCAGCATTTGACTATACTTTACACAGAACTAAGTAAACATCCAGATATTTGAATTGAGGTAAACACAGGAGTGTTCGTGTGTCTGAATTGTGTGATGTTATTAGGGACATCTGCTAATTCGCTCTCTGCTATTCCTCTCCTGGCTTTGCCTGTTTGTCACCTAAGGTGGCTAGGTCCTTCTCTGAGTTCGCCCTTCCTCAAGCCTGTAAGTTTCTAACCTTGCTCCACGTTGGCCTTGGCTCTTTCTGCACCCTCTCCATTGAAGAGCAATCCTTGCTGGATGGTGAGAGTGGGGAGTACCGACTGGAACAGTTCTGCAGATAATTAACAGATTGTGTTATTTGTTGAAAGTGACAGTTTCTTGGCACCCAGTTCCTGCTTAAGTAGGCTGGAGTATCAAGTTCTCAGCATATCTCTCTATTGTCTTGGCTTGAGTTGGGTGCATTTTCTATGTGCTGTTCGTGACTTGGACAACTCAAGGTAATCGAGCCATGCCAACTTGGCATGTGAACTGAATACTTCCCACCACAGTGCTGAAAGAGAGAGCAAATCCCAGAGATAAGCCGGCATCAGGTGAAGCCCCCCTTCCTTTGGGTGACTCATGGCTTCTCACTTGAGAAGCTCATCTGTGCTGGATGCTCACATGGTCACTACACATGGTCTCCTTGAACCCTCCTTAAGCTAAAGGCTTGGGCTCTTATTTGTAGTTTTCCTGGAAACCCAAGGCAGGAAATGTATTGCTAAAAGTTTAGCAGATTCAGATCATCCAAGGCTCCTGGATATTTGACTTGGTGAAACTTGAGCAGGCCCTGGCTCCAGGGACATACCTGCAGCTCCTTGAACTTGCCTTCTGAGCAGGGCAGCCCAGGTCATGCATTTTCCTTTGGACATGCTGGTCCTTCCTCAATGTTTTTGCCTTGCTAGGCTGTGAGCTCTTTGAGGGCAGGGACCACGTCTTATCAATGTTTTCCCAGTACCTAGTATGAGATAGGTGCTCAGTCAATATTTGTTGAGTAAATGACTAAATGTCTTCTGGAAGACTCCTCAGATTGGGAGGCCATATCCGTAATTGAGATGTGAATCGTGTCTTCACTGGAATAAGAAGACAACGGCCAAACCTTCAAGGACATTTTATCCATCAGACGAACATTTTACTGTGAGACTCTACTTTGCCTTCCTACCTGCGCTGAAATGAAACCAAAACAGACTGTTTGGTTCCGCAAGTCAGTACACGTTGGATGAGAATCCTGTTGCCTTATGAGGACCTGTGAGACTTACCTGGTACAAGAAGCCAGTAATGAACCTTTGACCTGTTTTGACCAATGAAGATTATGAATGTGTTTATATGATGTAAATTGCTATTTAAGTGTAAAGCAGTTCCAAGTTTTAGTATCTTTGGGTTGGTTTATATATATTTTTTCTTTTTGAAAAATACTGAGGGATCTTTTGATAAGGTTAGTCATACATGTTAGATTTTAGTTTTGTAAGTGTGTTGTTTTTCAAATGTATAAAATACAGGAAAAGGTAAAATAGTAAGAGGGAAAGGCAATTATATTATTCTTTTATAGTTCTTTTATAGTTAAAAAAGCATTTGTGAGTGCCTACTATGTGCACAGCATGGAACCATATATGTGAGGGGCTTGTCTGATTACATGGGGTGCAGTAGACACTCCCTGTGACCCTAGGATGGACACTCGCTGTGTGAGAGAGAGCACAGCAATCACAGTGTCCCAGCTGAGCCACCCTCCGCACTGGTCCTCAGGATTCCGTTACTGGAATTAGAGGTAGAGCTTTAATAAAAACCCATTGAGACCATGCCTTACGAACCACTGAAATGCACAAGCCTTCACAAGTTTGGCTACATTGGGGTTGGTCTTTCTGTAGCTATCTGCATCATTCTGGCTTTTCTCTCATCTGGCTTCTGGGTTGACCATTTGTGGGAAACAACCCTACTGCTGCTATTTTTGAAAAATCAGACATCTTGCCCTAATGTTAAATTCAAACTGAATATTTCTGTTTTATGAAAGAATTATATTTTTCAAAATATGTTTTTTTTGTTTGATGGGTCCCAGAAAACACTAATAAAAACCACAGAGACCAGCCTGTAGCTGTGTTTCATGCTTCAGCAAGCCATCCACAACTGGGTTTAGAGGAAATGCATGTAGTCTATAGCAATAAGACACACACAGTTCCTACATTTATCAAGCGTCTACTCTGTGCCAGGCACCATCCCAGGCACTGAGTTATGGCAGAGAATGAAAGAGACAAAAAACTCTGCTCTCCTTAAGTTTATGTTCTGTTGGGTGGAAACAGACAAGGAACAAAACACTAACAAACAAATAAACAAAACATAGCATATCGTATGTGTAGTCAAGAAATGTAGAGCAGGGAAGAGGTGTAAAGAGTGCTGGAGCGTGTAGGGGTGTATTGCAAGTTTAGGCAGGGTTAAGAAGGAAACATTTCAGTAAAGAACTGAAGGATTTAAGGGAAGGAGTCATGCAGATAACTGGGAGAATGACACCTAAGGGACCGGCAAGTGCAAAGGTCCTGAGGTGAGTGTGTTCCTGACATGTCCAAGGAACAGCAAGGAAGTCTGTTTGGCAGAGTAGATTAAGAAATAGTAGGAAATGATGCAAGAGAAGCACCGGCAGGCCAGATCACATACAACTATGAAGGCTCTAATTTTCTTTTGAGTGAGATGGGGAGCCATAGAGGAGTGACCCCTCTGGCTGTTGTGTGGAGAATGAATTGCAGGAAGACCTTCAATGTTGGATGTACATTTAGTGAAGGATAACAAAGAGAGGTAGAAAAGATCACTCTCACATCCAGGTTTCCAATGCAATACTTAA